TATACCGTCCATCTTCTATAGAAGGTGAACGATGGAGACACCTTAAAATGCGATATACATTTGAAGGTTTCTAATAATTACCATCTGATAACAAGTTAATAACAACTAATACTAATATGATCACTAGATAAGGTTTTATTTTAGTCTACACAAACTATTTTAACATTACACCCAAAGAAAAAACTATTTTAACAGATTTATATATAACCTTCCCCCCCAATAAAAAAGATACTAATACATAAAATAGTGCATGCTAACAGAGGAGGAAACGTGTGAAAATTGGAGTTTCTATATATAGCAAATCGAGAATTTTTTTTGTTATATAAAAATAAGAGTATTAATTTTCTGGTTGACTGTTTCTCTTCTCAGTGCACTCTCCACTTTCTGTTTTCTCACCGCCCACTTCTTCCTCCCCACATGCTTATGTTTTTTTTTCCGTAAAATTTGGGATTATTAATATGAATATCACATCTAAAAATGTCACTTTTCAAACCTTTTTTAAAACCATATTCTAAATGATTATGGGTAAGTCTATATAATCATCTCGCATTAGTAGTATTTTATATAAGTCAAAACGATGTGGAAACTTCGTTCCTCCACTAATTACTTTATTGTGAGTTTGAAAATAATGGAGCCTCGAGGAAAATGCATTGAAATTGACCAAGTTCAATCACTTGTGGGCACGAGATTGCTCTAAGCCACGTTATTTGTCTTAAGACAATGACTTTAGCAATTACCGACGTGTTGTAACTTTTCAAAATGGTCTTTGAGTATCTCACAATAAGAGTCAAATTATTTCTGTTAATGGAATTATCCAAACATTAATTGATTATATAAACAAGATAATAAGAGACCCAAAGCAACTATGTTGGAATTTAAAGCCGTGTCTACTAAGCGGTTGTTTGGGGCTTAATACGCATAGTTATCACGTGGGTTAAGCCACCAACAAAACTAATCAAAAATATGTCAATTTTTGTCAATGTTTTTTATTCGATTTTACTGTTGATATTGAAAACTATGGTTTTTGATTCTTGGTCGTTGTGGTTGTTATACAAGATTTTTGATTCATGACCATCAGAAGAAAATATTTAAAGATCAAGATCTTCTTCACCTTTGTGTGTGGGATTTTGTTGTCGATTTGATGGTGATGTTCAAGGCTCATAGTAGCCGCATCACATTCTCAAAGTCAACCAAGACCATTACTCGCAAACCGAACCATACCTATCTGAGATAACCGGATTACTAATGTCTTGTTTATGAATCATAATTTTGGTATACAAAATAGTTGGTAACGAGAGAGAAATGATTAATTAGTTTGCTTTGGATTGATTTTGGTAATATATTTCCCGGTTAACTACAACAACAGGTGAGTTTTAAGACTACACATAGATATGGATTCTATCTCCACACACAGAAACGAGAATTCAAGAGTTAAAGGTGACTGATGACAATCGTTGGATTGACTCTTAATTGGTTGGAATCAAAGAGAGTTTTTGTATCAGTAATACATTTCTCAATCAAAAATGTGATCCTACTATTAAGTGTTTATGTTCTTGTTTTCTCCCTACAGATCAAACCTCACGTTCCATTTTCCTTTCAAGTTTGTGTTGAGAGTCCAATTGTTTTCTCTAATCTGCATATAAGGGACCTGTAAGAAAAGGAGAGAGGCAACACATTCTTTTAAACAGTGAGCTCAAGAGTAAGGAATTTAGTAGTATCTACATTATTCAGATTTCGGTACCTTGTCAAACACATCGTAGCCAACTCTGAGGCGTAAATCCTGCTCTTTCTGAAACTTCCATATGTTCCAATCAAATTCAGCAGCTCCTTTCGCGTTCCTCTATCGCACAAAATCATAAAATCTGAGTCCATTTTCAAGAAACATAACTGATGACTGATGAGTGTTTGAAGAAAGTTCCTGAAGAAAATAAAAGGCAAACCTGAACAAAGCCCTGGTCAAAATCACATCTTCCTTTGATATTAAAGGTAACAAGCTCATCAGTTCTCACAGGAAACTTCTTTTTCCCACGTACAAGACACCGAAGCTTTTGGCGTTTATCATAATGCAAGCCAATTCCAAGGCTTGTCGAAGCCTATAACGCGATTCGCGGCATTGAAATGGTTGTAAAAAGTTCTAAAAGAGCTCAAGCGAAGTAGGAACAGAAGATTTGAGATCAAAACCTCATGGAAAAAGTATCTTATCATTGCACAGAAGTAACTTGGCCCTCCAGCTCCTGTATCTAGCTCTCCATGAAGCTACCGCAAAATGAAAACCAACAAAGAAAGTAAGTAACAGAAACACAATCTTAACCAAACCAAGCATGTCAAAACATCACTCATATTGACAATCAAATGAAATGAGGTTTGTCATAATCATGGTCAGTAATCCAAAACTTAACTAATAAAGTTTTAACAAAAGCTAAATACAGGCTAAACAGATATCGACATTGAGGCTCATATGGTAAACATTCCAAAGCCTTATCTATAAGAAAATAAGCATTTTTACATATAAAATCCTCAAAATCTCAAGTAAGAAGCTTTGGGAATTGAGCTAATGACCACGGAGAGAAACGAAGAGACTAGTCAAACAAGAAATTACAGAGAAATACTAATTCGAAGGAGACAGAAAAAACCCCACCTGGAAACGAGTTTTGGAGTTCACCGAGAGATTCTCCTTGGCATGGATTTTCAAAGACCTGGAATTGGTTGAATATCTCAGAGAAGTCTCCATTTTTTTCTCAGTAGATTCTCTCGGGAAAAAGCTACCGCCAAACAAAGCACAAAGCAGAGTCAGCAACCAAATTCCCACCAAGTAGCTACTTTGGTCATGTCGGTTTATTAATTATACGGTTCGGTTTACAAAATCCTGTCAAAAGCAAAGATTCGGTTTTGGTTTTTTTCAGTTCTGTAATCTCAAACCATTGTAAATTTTCAATTTGGTTTGGTTTGGTTTCTACGCCCACAGCTACCTTATCCACACATTTGGAGTCTCTCTACAAAACATATATCAACCAATGAATAGCTGCCACGTAAAGATCAGCTAGTCCAACAGATATATCGGTTATTGAGTGTACCAGAATCGGTGCATAACCGAATACTCCAAAATTTACATCTTTTTCTTTTCTTATTTCTTTTTGGTCAACAAAGAATTTTCCGCGCCGGGATTCGAACCCAGACGTCGTTTGTCGTGAAGACAAATTTTTGCCAAAAGATACATTGTTTTAATCAATGCGCTACAGCGGAACTTTTTTTTTTTTTAACATCCTTTTTTATTTTATCGTTTAGACGAATGATGGTCTAGACACAAATGCCTCAAGTTTCAAACTTGTCTTCTTCACTTCTCTTCCAGGGGAATCACCTGAAGCAGCTCTATGTTCAACTCAAATGTAGCTCCAAGCTGCAAAACACAAACATGTTTCCTTTTTCTCTTAGACCCAAAACATTAAACCAATACAATTTGTAATTTGTTTTCTGCAAAAAGACGGAGCTTTCCTCATATACAATTTGTAGGTTCTCACCGGTATCTCGTTCATTCCTCTCTGACCATAACCAGCTTCAGGAGGAACAGTCACATTTCTCTGCATCAACACAAATCATGTCAAAAACTAGCATACATTGCTAAGTAACCAAGTGTTGTAAGAAGTAAAAAGCGGTGCGGTTTCTAACCTTGCCTCCCACTTTCATTCCTTCGGTTATGTAATAGATAGCTAGAGGAGGCTTAGGTTCAGCCTGTGCAGAGAACAACCCATTTGGATTGTCTACGAATTCATGTTTCCTTTCTTTTCCTAGCATTGATCCGACCTTGAACTCGTAAGGCTGTTGTTGTTCCATAAGAAAGTAGCAACCATCAAGAAGAAGAATACTTGAAAACTTTGCAGATGCATAAAGCGCAAACAAAGTAATGGTTAAA